TCGTCGTCGCGGATGCTTCAGTGGAGCGGCGTTGGGTAACCTATCGAGTGTGAAGAGAGTGAAGGCTGCAAGATCCCATTTCATGGCCCAGATTTACAAAGATATGAGGATCGCAGCAGCTAAGGCTATGGGACATAAAGGCTCCAAGAAGCCGCTACCTGCCCCGAACGTCGGCGATCCAGTCTTGATTTATCATCCTACCAAGAAGATGGCGTCTGGATTTCGTCTTGCGCATGTGATGAACGTCGAGAAGAATGGCCGACAAATGCGAGTCAAACATATTGATGGGAGTGAAGATGTGCATCATCATTACAACGTGGTTCCGATCAAGATTGATCCATCCTGGAGTGCTGGAGATGTTGAGACCGATCACGAGGCGCAGCAGGGGGGGCATGATATGAATACTGAAGATTGAAGTGGTACGTATACGTCCTTCGGGACATACTCTTTTCCAAGGCGCGCGCGTGCGTAAGAGGCGACCCAGTACGCCACGTCACCTCACGTCTCGTCTCGCCCTGCGCGATCGCTCTTCCTTAAGCCGGAGTCTTAGCTTTACTGCGCTATCGATCGGTCTGTCCGAAGTTCATAGCGTCGAGCTACTTTTTATCTGTTGCAGTTGTTACTCCGCACACTTGTCTACACCCGAGTTCACAGTCCGTCAATCTATATCAATGGTATCATCTATCATGATATAACCTCAATGGTATCATCTATCATGATATAACCTCAATGGTATCATCTATCATGATATAACCTCAATGGTATCATCTATCATGATATAACCTCAATGGTATCATCTATCATGATATAACCTCAATGGTATCATCTATCATGATATATCCTCAATGGTATCATCTATCATGATATAACCCCAATGGTATCATCTATCATGATATATCCTCAATGGTATCATCTATCATGATATAACCTCAATGGTATCATCTATCATGATATAACCTCGATGGTATCATCTATCATCACCCCAATCTCATATGAATAACCCTGGTATTCACTATGATATACGCAAGATGATAGAAAGTAGAGAGACACTGTAAGATGACGATCACGCTGAGATAATTGATAAGGGGCCCGTGGGCAGGCACCAACGAGGGACAACAGCTCATTCAAAGTCTACAGCTGTGATTTTGTTTGAAGACTACCACGAGTCTTGGTATTAAGGAGTATTATTTCGTAAAGATGGTCCAAAGTAACAGATTTAGGACGTTCGATGGACATCTGCATAATCCTAGCCCAATTGTGCCATAAGGCCCATACATCGAGATAAGGCAAAAATAACGGTATAAAAGTCGGCCTCAATGAGACCAAAATGCTTCAACATTACTCCCGAATGTGCATCAACATTAGGATTAGGATTACGGACCTTGCCCGCCTTAGACAGTACATCAGGAACAGCTTCAAATGCAATAGCACAGAGTTGAACCATAGGGTCATCGCTTGGGTACTTAAGACAGAACTCCCGCTCTAGGAGATACCTTGGATCAACTACTTTCAGAACAGCATGCCCATAACCAGGAAACACTTTGCCTTCTCATAAAGTCTTCTCAGCGAATTTACCAACATTTTCTTTGCTTGGTACTTCACCATTGAGATAATCCATACAAGATTCCAACCATTCAAGTGACTCTTGATTAGCAATGCCATGTAATGGTCCAGCCAGACCGCAAACACCAGCAGCAAAGGCATAATAGGGATCAGCAAGTGCTGACTGCCCTACGAGATGTGTTGTGTGAGCAGAGACATTACCACCCTCATGGTCGGCATGGAGCAACATATAGAGCCTCATTACATCCTCGAATAAAGGGTCATCATCATGATGATGATGATGATTATCATTAACACCCAACATATGGACAAAGTTAGCTGCCCAATCCCTGTTGAAATCAGGAGATATATAGTTCTCCTTATCATGGTAGGATCTATGATAGATCCTAGCGGCTATGAGGGGTATTCAAGTAGAGTAACGGCATCCTCGAGAATACTCTCCCAATATTCGTCCTTCTTGAGGTCACCATTATAATAGCCTTCCGAAAAGGTAGAATACGGTTGAAATGCCAATACACCAATACTCAACTGAGTCATAGGATGCATATCTTAAGGTAAATTATCAATAGTAGTTATAACATTCTTAGGCAATTGACTTCTACTATGTAACTCTATCGTGAATTCCTGTATAATATCCATATTAGGGATCTCACCAGTTAGCAGTAACCAGAATAGTCCTTCAGAGAGTCCTATGGTACTTCCAACTGACTTAGGTAAAGCTGCATTCACTTCTCGTAGAGTCATATTCCTATATCGTATACCCGCAAGTGAATCTAGATCAGAAGTATCAGTGAGCATGGTCTTCATACCACGCTCACCACCCAACACATTACCAACAGTAATTTCACCAATGACGTCTTGACTATGACCATACTTAAGTTCAACAAGCCTAGCAAGCTCTGACTAGGCTAAGTTACGTATTCGCTCCTTCAAGAGGTCCATAACAGTATGCTCGGTTGTGGTAGTTGTAGAGGTAGTCATTTAATAAAAGTATGCTGATCGGACAGCTAGTTAAGTGATGGGCATCAACATTACATGCCGATTCACATTAACCATACAATTCTAAACTACGGGAATATTATATCGCATGTCTACACAACTGGAAACTTTTCAATATTTTCACTCATGTATGTATCAGAGTCATGTATCATCAGAGTCATGTATCATCAGAGTCATGTATCATCAGAGTCATGTATCATCAGAGTCATGTATCATCAGAGTCATGTATCATCAGAGTCATGTATCATCAGAGTCATGTATCATCAGAGTCATGTATCATCAGAGTCATGTATCATCAGA